AGTCAATCAATTACCTGAACGTTCTTAAAGTCGACTCGATTTAAATCGTTAATCATTTGCTGGATTTGTTGCTGATTTTGTAGGACAGCTCTGGCGGCCGATGACAAGTGGTTAAGCGATGTGTATCGGCGTAGGGTATGACTGAAGGCCCCGACGGCCGCCACTTTCAACAACACAAACTCGTCTACAATTATTTCACACAAAAAAACGTTTGCAAACAATTAAATTACTGTAATATTTAATAAACCAGATTCAGGGGCCGTACCATCGTATCCGACTAACGCATTGGTCATCCATTGGTTGATATTTTTGGCAAAATTGCGTATTTGTTGCGTCAGATTCTGTGGTATCGGACGCAAGAGGTTTGGAAGTAATAGCGACGATATGATCGCGTTATACATCGTGTAATCGGTTTGTATTATCCAATCGGCGATCGCCGGTATTGTACTCTCGGAGGACTCGTCGCCCGACGTCGTCAGGCCTTGAAGTTGTGATATTGTCATCACATCTGTATGTAATTCATCACAAAAAAGGTGTCAATAAAACAAAACAATATTCAAATCGAAATACAAAGACTATACCATCTTTATTGTCACAATTGTCGGGTCTTTGCCAGAACTGCTGCCAAATCACTTCCACGGAATTAAACTGAAGGTTACCCAAAGCGGTGATTATCTCGTCGTAATGCGAACGATATAATGACGTGAATTTGGAAAATAGCTTTTGGGTCTCATTTACGTTCAAATTGTCGGGAACTTCGGGCCAAACGGTCGGCAATATTAGCGATGAATCACCTGTTGTTTCAATCATACGATTAGTCTCTTAATTTTCTACGATTTCAGCGAATAAAATCAATTTATAAATACCGAGATATGACAGAAGGACTTCCGGTGTGGCCGATGTGACAGGCGTTTGATGACTATTATCTCCCGCCGCGGCGTTGACTACAACTTTGGAACCTATTATCAACAATATTGACAATTAATTATCTGATCAATAAAATCCTAGTCACGGGACAAACACTACTACAGACCTCCAGTGCTAATGGAATTACTGGTCTTCGCCCGTTTCGTGGGCGGCGTCGGCGACGACTCGGAACCGCTGAGTATTCCCGAAGCGGTGCCGATATCGCTAAGTCTGGCGAGTGATGAGCCGGGCTTTACGCGTATGCCGTAGTAATGGTATTTTGAATTGCCTGCAAAACATATCAAATATGGTTTAAAATAAGACATTAAAAAAATTATCCGCAAAACACGACAAACCTCTTGTGCCGAGTCTTCGCGTCCGGAGACCGATAAATACGGAACGAATCAATTTGCCAAATGAGGCCGCGTTCACGGGCTCTATGTTGTGCTGTTGGCAGTGTTGCTGATAATGGGAGTACAGTGTCGACCGCGGGAGGGATACACCTGAAGACATTGGATTAAATATCATTAGATAATCACTACCCTAATGGGTTTCATTATCAAACTAACTCATACCCTCTGCCGTCTCATAATTCTCGATAAGCCATTGAACCTAAAAATGCAAAAATAAGGCATTTTATTAAATCTCCATTACATTGATTGCAATCACTTTATGGTTTAGGAAATCAAGTGCTCATTCATTCACTAATTGAAAACTATTAAAAATACAAGTGGTTTATAGAGAGAGTGATTGTGAAAAAAAACATTCATTCATTACATTAAAAACCTATTAAATGATCGATTAAACTAATGAAACAAAAAGTACAACAAATAAAACAAATCACATAAAAAAGCAAAACAAAAAACACAGAAAAGCGGAATAAATATATGTCATAAAAAATTAATAATCAAACAAATATCAAACATAAAACATGCAAATTAAATGCAAGCCATTAATGGTCGAGTTGTGGGGGAACAGACGGTGCGGGGGGAGAGGTCCGGATGGATAGCTTGTTAGTGAATATTAGTGCCAGAGTGGGAGTGATAGGAGGAGAGGGACAGGTGATGGGACCGGTAGTGTGCAATAGTAGTGGTTAGAGTATAAGCTGGTATTACATGAACGATATCCATATCGCGAACATTTTGGTGTTGCTGTTGAAGAGAAGCGGTATTAATATGAGTGGTATTTGCGGTCGTATTCGATGTGTTGTGCGGATCGGTTTGAAGAGTAAAAGGATTGATTAGTAAAGCACCGGTAGTACTAGTGTTTGACTGTAGCCTCCCGTGTGCTGGTAGTGACTGCTGTTGTTTATCCTTAATTTACAGTGCATTTTGTGGCGTTAAATGAGAGACAGAGTAAGAGAGAGGGCAACAGAGAGATAGATAATGGAAATGCTTTTTATAGGTGTTGCAGATTGTTATTCATATAAAGTTTTTATTTCTCATTTCATTTATTTTATATAATATTTGCGATAAGTTTTGATAACAAATCTGTCGATACTATTGCGAGATATACTCAACAAAATAAATAGAGTCTACAGTATATACTTTTTTGTTGAATTAGTGCTAAAAAAGTCCTTCATATTAAGCACTGGATATTTCAAATAAATGTATTCATAGGTAAATATCGATTGCGAGATATACTCAACAAAATAAATAGAGTCTACAGTATATACTTTTTTGTTGAATTAGTGCTAAAAAAGTCCTTCATATTAAGCACTGGATATTTCAAATAAATGTATTCATAGGTAAATATCGAATGAGAGAGAGAGAGAGAGAGAGAGAGATAAAAGGACTTCCCGTTTGCACAACTACTTTATCATATATTATACATATTTCTATTAATCACTGGCTTTTTTGATTAATTTAGTATATATTGATTAAAAACTTTTTACTATAAAAAACCTAAATTCTCTACAATCAAAGAATATACAAGGTATTTAATTTCACGCCCAACACCCCCTCCCCTCCCCGGGAATATCATAGATAAACCATAATCTCATTTACATATAAAAGTATTTCTTAATAAAAAACAATACATTTATAGAGAGGGGAAAAGAGACATATTTTCAACGAATAATCAGAAAAAACATTAATATATCGAGACTTAAATGGGATCAGCGTTTGAGACACAGAGAAAAACATGATATAGTATTTTATATGTGAATTGATATTCAAGACAAGTGTTAATACTGTATANAGGGACATATTTTCAACGAATAATCAGAAAAAACATTAATATATCGAGACTTAAATGGGATCAGCGTTTGAGACACAGAGAAAAACATGATATAGTATTTTATATGTGAATTGATATTCAAGACAAGTGTTAATACTGTATATAATGAACACAAATGGCACTTACAGTCTGGGGCTGGACTGATATTCTCTGCTGTTGTTGAGTTAGTAATTGCTTATATTCCTCGTCCAAGACGTGGACCGATAGGTGAAAAAGGTGTTAACAGAAACAGTTTGGTTAGTTTTCAAGTCATTTTCAATAGCCATTCAATTAGATATTAATTGTTGTTGAGTTAGTAATTGCTTATATTCCTCGTCCAAGACGTGGACCGATAGGTGAAAAAGGTGTTAACAGAAACAGTTTGGTTAGTTTTCAAGTCATTTTCAATAGCCATTCAATTAGATATTAAAGTGTTATTGTAAACATAAAATTGAAAATTATATCAAATCTAAGCGCTAATTGATTCATAAAACATATATTCAACACATGTTTTGTTTTTTAGTGTTTAAATGCCTTTTTATAGTTTTGTTGTTGTCATGTAAATGATTGGATGGCAAAAAATTTAATGATATTATTATTTTTTATAGTTTTATGTATGATATGGTGTGTGAAAAATGTTAGTACGAGAAATACAACGCAACAAATAGGGGTATCGTTTTTGTTGATGACACCTACTGTTTGGGGTGATGTGCGTTGGGCTCCCGAACCGCCGGTCAGTGTCGGGTCCGTCTGTTCCATCACTAGATATGTGCCATCAGTTAGTATCTGATTCACGCCCTAAACAATACACACAAATTGCATATCAATTGGCAATTAATTGAATGTCGTTTAAGTAATAAATAAACTTATAAATAACTTACACCAGTGTTGTAATAAGCAGTTGCCGTCGTATACGAGTCGGTCGTGTAATATGTCCTACAAATGCGGTAAAAAATCAAACAAAAACTCGTTTAATATTCAAATGATAATTAGCGGTAAAATGAGTTAACACATACATAGCTGATCCAGAGTTGGCTCCGTTAGTGTAGGCGGCGGTCGCGAAGTCCTCGAAACCGGACTGTCCGTCGTCCTCATCGGTCGAAGCGGTGGCCGCACCCGAAGCTACAGCTGCCGAGTCTGCGAGAATGCAATCATCAAAATAAATCAATTGTCAACACATATGACACAAATGTATTCAAAAAACATACCGGACTGTTGGCCACCGCTGGTCTGTCCGGCACTTTCTGGTGATACGGCCACAGCTATAAACTGTCCGCCGCTCGACACTTGAACCACAACCGGTTGGCCAGCGATCAGGTTATTGCCTAAGAAAAAGCAAATGACAATTCATGGGTGAAAATGGCGGGACATATGGCGAGAGACATACCATGAGATGTGGTGTTATGAGTGGGCGCCACAACCGTAATCACCTGAGCGGTGGTCGAAGCGGCGCTTGTGCTGAACTGTTCGCCTTTGATGGCTGCGGCCGACAACGAGTTGACCGCTTGCGCGGCCACAGAGGACGCCGTGACGGCTGTGGAGTGCGGCGCCGATTGGATCGCGTGCTCTGTTGTCGACGACTTCGCCGACGATGTAGTGGTGGTCGCGGTGTTGACTGTGGATGTGTTTTGTTGCATATCTCGCACACACGCGGCGGCGATGGCAGCGGTGGTGAAGAGATGGCAACGCGTGGATGGGCTGCGAAGACGGCGGACAACAGTCGCGGCACTGATGGCGGCGGAGCAGGAGATGAAGAGCACATGACATCCAGAGGTAGCATCACATCAAACATTTGAACGATAGTTGTGTTCAACACATGAAATACAAATACAAATGGTTAGAGAGAGACACGGATTGACGACAACCACCACTTCAAGAGTGTTCTTGTAGTGGAGGTCGAGAGACAGTGGATGTGTTGACTGGTGTGTTGTCGTGAGTGTTGTGTTTATGTCTTGACAAGTGATGAGCAGTTTGTGTCTTACCTTTTGGTCGATTCCTTTCCTTAACGACTGGTTTTGTGGTAACAGTGGTTGTGATGAAAGCCAAGGAAACAACAACTGCTATGGTTTGGGAGTTGTTTAGTGTTGCCTCTGATCACTGTGTCTAACAAACTAATGGCTGTCACTATCACTACAGCACTGCAACACAACACACACTCTCCGGCACTAACCTATCCATACTATACCAGCGCTACACTCCCTCTCCCATACACTCCCATTGCGCACACAAACCCTCTCTTTCTCACTCTCTCATGCAATGTATTGATTGTCTCTCACAGACTGCGCGCACACTTACTCTCTCTCTCTCTCCCTCTCCATCACATTCCGTCCCCTCTTTTCCGTTGCTAACCACTTGTCTGCCTCTCAAACGCGTCCGCAATAAACGTTACATAATTCTACCCCTATTTTGTACATCACCACAAAAGTTATCTCACACTCAACTTAACGAGTTAGCCCCCCCCACGCCCTCCACCCCTATACTCATAGTAACGTTGTCGGTGACGGTGTGTTATCAAAAACTTTGTGTTTACAGTAGAGAGCGATAGTAACCATAGCGACCGAAATATATTGGTCTCTGTGTGCAGTTGTGTTGTGTTTCCACTTCACTCTCTCTGCCTCTCTATTGTGTTCACAAAATACTGTATTAAAAAAAGTAATACTTATTATTATTAATACAATAAGAGCACAGCATTTGACGGATTATTAATTACTATTACACAACACAACCAACGGTACACTCACTCACTGTATGCGTGCTCTGGTTTTTAACGCACTTTTTTTTACCTGCGCTTACCGTTAGCCTAAACTTTGTGTATACTGTATAAGTCCGGTGTTGGGGGCAGTGATGGACTGCCCCCTCGAGGGAATGTGTAACGTCTTATACGGATTTTGTAATTATAATATTCTACCTTTGAATGCAATTTAAGCACTACTTTATATACGGGTATTAAATGTTGAGTTAGTTTTTTATTCGCACACTATTTATGATTAAATTATGTATCGATGAATGCAATTGTGTTATACATTGTGTATAGCGTTTTGTCAGGAATTTAGTGTTGTATGTGTTGTATAGCCTATTATATAATGACAAAACATATGCATTACATATACTTTGCTATTCTTATCACTTTTTTGTTTCATTTGCCTGTAATATATAGTGTATTGCATAACATATAGGTATACATATATAGACCGGACAGACCAACGCCCGACATATGTCACACACCCTCTCCATTCTCTCTCTCTTCTACACAAACAACAAGTTTTTCACCGCTAATTTAAACTACAGATTAATATTGAGAGACACAACAAATGATCAATTATTGAGAGGCGGGGGAAGCAGATGGATAATGGATGGATTGGGGGAACAGCACTAATAGGGATACCTTTGTATACTGTATTATGTGGTAACCAAATGCCAAATGGTTTTCATTGCGATAAGACTCCAGGTTTTGTTTAAACAGTGATAAAGTTTTTGTTTCCCGCAGTTTTTAGTTGTTAATCATGTTTATCACCTGATATTCAGGTCATATATACTAATATTGATGACATTTGTAACTCGAGAGTAATATTTTATACGCACCAATGGTTTGGACACTAGGGGTAGGGGTGGGTATGAGTGCGGGTATGAATGTCATGATCAATGTATGAATAATTATTTCCCTCCCATCATAATTAAAGGTACTTTTAATTTAATTTAATTCACTTGATATATAATAAATAAATAAAATATTTACGCTATATTTAGTGCTATATTTACGCGGGACTTATATAACGTTCACTTTTATAATATGTAAATCATTTTTAATTATATTTCTACGACGGTAGAAATTTTTATTTCTTATGAGATTAGTTTTGATAAAATTGAACATGTTATTTTTCATTGTTAGTTTGCGTTTTTAGTATTTCAATTTTATATACACGGGATGTTGTTCAATATTTGTTTAACATGGTGCAATATCAAATTGCCAATATGTGCGATATGCATGTATGTTATATAATAACTTATACTTTATAGGGAATTGTAGTGAAAATTCATCATATTGCATTAGTAGAGCAACAGAATGGCAACATTTACATGATTTCAATATAGCGTGAAATTGATTGCCAAAGTGTGTGCACATAATGGCAATAAGAATAAAATGTTCAATTTATTCTCGTCCGGTCACTCATTTGTGTCCATCACTCGGCACTATTACCAGCCATTCATTGATGGATAGAATATCCCGCATATACTGATCGTGTATTCGAGAGTAAGATATGATATTTTGTTAAAATTACCACAACTTTATACAATTATGTCATTTAAATTCATCTAATAGGGCAGTCAAGTGATTCCAATCGTGCGGTAATTGATATAATTTTTAAACTAAATGAGACAATTTAATTCTGTAAAATGGATATAAGAGCGTCATATACTGCGCATCTGCAGCTTACCTTAT